ATACGATGTATTAATTATTGTCTTATCAACGGGGTCGTTTGTTCTCTGTATAAAGACTAATGTGGTTACAGGTTATCCTTGCGGCAGTCCGTTCTTGTCACCTCCGCCATGTACCGACATGGCTTCATGCTGATTACGAAAACCTTTTAAGATAAATATTGCAAACGACGATAAATTTAACGCGTCTTGGTTGTAAAATGTAGACAGTTTAAAATACCAGGTAGTTCAACCATAAAAACAGCTTTTTTTTTTGGCCTATTTTAACTTTACGACTTTGTACCTTTTCAAGGTTGGTTGGTGTTTGATTTAGATCATATAGTCGAGTGGCGTGGTTTCACCTGAATGGGTCGCTTATCAAGCGCCGTGGGTTTTCTCCGGGTCCTCCGCCCCCCCCCCACAGCTTAAAAAAGCCTATGCGCAAGCAAATTATTGAAATAAGTTTGAATCACGTTCCAAAATTACGTTAAATCTCTCTCTCCCCCTCTCTCTCTCCTCTCTCTCTCTCTCCTCTCTCTCTCTTTCTGAGAAGGTGGAGAGAGAGGGTCGAATGGTCTAACGCGTGCGCTTTAGATCCTAAGGTCTGTCCCAACTAGTGAGTTTTGTCTGGATCCTCCAGTTTCGTCCCACTTCTGAAGAAAACTACATTTGTACTCCCTCTCTCTCTCTCTCCCTCTCTCTCTATCTCTCTCTCTCTCTGCGCTTGGTTGTGTATTATGACGTAAAAACGATTGATAAATAGATTGATATAGGTTGTTTATTTTCAATATGTCTAAAAAATATCTACGAAAGGGGGTCACTCACACTCGGTGAATCACGTGGTATGCAGCCTTTTATTACCCTCCAGCTAGGTCACGTGTTATTCAACGCTTTCTTTACTTACACAGAAATCTAAATAACAACATATTTAATGGCAGTGAACCATGAGTTGACCTTTTTACTAAAATATTCCCCTGCACGTTTAATAAACCCTTTCAACTGGTTCAGTCACAGCACGTTTGTGATATTATACTGACATTGTGGGAACCTAAACGTGGTCCTTAGACTAATAATCACTGAATTCCCTTATCGACATTCACTAGACCCCCCCTAAGGCATGGCGGAGAATTGCGCTACCGTATTTTCAAGGTTAGGATATGCATGTTGTTGTTGATACACGCGAGTTTCACATGGCCGGAAAATGAAATGGGTATTAACGGCCTACTGTTCTGTTTCGAACTGGGCTAATGAAGATGAGCATACTCCATGCAGTATGCTATGAGATATATTTTGCCCGTACAGCTGGGATACGGCCTGCTCTTTTATCGAATTATAACTGCCAAGGGATCCGTTTCTAGACCCTCCATTCTAAACCACTGACAAATGGTAACCATCCCGGAAAATCCCGGTGAACTTTCAAGGGACCGCATGAATATCGAGCCAGCGTCTTACTCACGTTTTAGTCAGCTGAGATGAAGTTTTGTGCTTTTTCAAGTTCGTTTCTCTCGCTCAGCTGAGGACTCGCTTCTCTCGCCCAACTGAGATGGGACCTGCTTATTGACAATAAATATGTGCCAAGGCGTTCAAATGGGACGAAATGCCATGGTCAACCCGTGGAAGTTGAAATTATTCATGCAAGTGTTATCCTATTTTGCACATAATATAGTAGATAAATTATACTAGTATTTTAGAAATCATTTGACAGAGACCAAGGTCCTGTGTACACATTGGCGTGCACGTAAAACATCCATTGACAGTTGGAATTCCATATAAGGGTAAACCTCAGAGAGAGAGAGAGAGAGAGAGAGAGAGAGTGGGAGAGAGAGACACACAAACTAGGTCATTTCGGCATAATTCGCTTGCGCGTAGGGGTCTTTAGCAGTGGGAGGAAACCGGAGGACCCGGAGAAAACCCACGAGGTTGGACAGGCGAACCTACTCCTTGTCACGTACAACCGGTGTGGGGGGGGGAATTCGAAACAAACCTCACAGAACTCTGCCCGATTGGTATTGTAACATAGGAATAACCCCATCCAAGTGAATGTCATCTTCAACCGAATGTCGATTTTTTTCTCTTAAACACCAAACATTTATCATATTGAAGCGATTGGGGTATTTTTATTACGACATGTTATTTAATATTCGTTTCTTGTGAATTTTATACGGTGAATGTTTTATATCTATGGCTGTAATCAAATAAAATGGGGTTTAACGTCCGACTGTTCTGCTCCGACTAGGTTAATAAAAACGACCATACGTCATACAGTGTGCTATGAGGCGAAATTTTGCCCAGACAGCGGCGCTACAGCCTACTCTTATATCGAACTCCAACTGCCAAGGGATCTTTTACGTGCACGCCAATGTGTACGTCTATGACTGCAACAATATTGTTAAGAAGAGTGGTGTACGCTTTAGATCATAAGGTCTGTCATTGAGTCAAGAGGTGTGGTTTCAATTCCATGCTTGTACGTGACAAGGAGTAGGGTTGCCTGTCTAACCTCGTGGGTTTTCCCCGTGTCCTTCCACTGTTAAATACCCCCATACGGGCAAACGAATTGTTGACATAAAATTGAACCCCATATGTTAGTCCCGAAATGACCTAGTTTGTGTCGAGTGGGCGTTAAACTATCTTTCCTAATACACTGCTGAATAATCAATTTTGGGGTGAATTGATGCGTTAAAAATTTGATATTTTCCGAAACATGCAAAGGACGATCGGCGATTTAAACAAAAAAGAACAAATACCATCGTACCATGGACCAATAAATGCGCAACTGCCCAAAGAACAGACATGTCGAGTTTCATGTCTATCGTGGATAAATTGGTGGATAACAACAAGATGAGTAATGCACGGTCGTGTACAGTTTATTGTGAATATTTATCAATGACTAAAGGGTATGGAAGGATCATCTGCTTTCAAGATACATTATGGAAGATTAGGTAAAAAGCTGGCAGTTCTCACTATAATAGTTAAAAACTAGATAATGTTAAAGGAATTTGCTGAAAATTTCAGTCAAATTGATCCACTCCAAACCGAGTATTTAGCGATTGAATTTTCGGCCTAGCCTCGATCATCATTACTAAAGTCGGTAGGATAAAAAAAACACATAGTCTCGATTATCCATTTAATGATTAAATTGTGAATGGAAGTCGAACAGCAATTCGGAACCTAATCCAATAAACATCGTAGGCTAGCGATGCCATCGAGAGTTGATTATGGTCTGGATAAGTTAATTAATGTCTAATTAATAATTTAGATAACATTTTAGGCCTAAAGAAGGACCTGCAATAGGTAGATTTAGCTCTTACATAATGTATGTTTAATATGATTAATACAATGACGTCATTATTAATGTGACGTCATAATGTATGTTTAATACGAAGGAGTTTTTGTTCTTTTTATTGCATTGTATTTATTTACATTTTTGTCATTGCATTATGACACAATTCTTTTGTTCATTGCATTATCACGCAATACATTTTTATTACATTATGTTAAAATACATTTTTGGGGCTTATAACACCCTTATTTAGTACTTTTTTTTATTGATATCAATATACTTATGTCGAGTTTTGCTATAATTTTCATGTTTTCCGTTCCAATCAAGGAACAGCTTAAGATAGTCATATATTTAATAAAGGCCCGGTATATGTATGGTTTAATGGTCGAGAGCGAGACGTTAAGTAATATATTATCCAGAGTGTTGTATCAATATATTAAGCAATGTCTTGCAAAAATGAAATGGGGTTCAACGTCCTACTGTTCTGCCCCGACTGGGCTAATGAAGACGGGCATACGCCATACTGTATGCTATGAGGGAAATTATATCGAATTCCAACTGTCAAGGGATCTTTTTTCGTGCACGCTAATGCATACACGGGATCTCGGTTTTTCGTCCCATCCGAACGACTAGACAGATGTCCTTTTCAGGCTCTCCGCCCTGCACTACTGACAAGAGGAAACCACATCGGAAATTCCCGATGAACTTTCTCGACCAATGCTCATCACCATTTAACTTAAAATACACGCTATAACGCACGTGCATTTCAATGAAATCGTCAAGTGAGTCCAATATTTCACCTAGTTTAAATACTGTACGATTGGCTGCGATATCACCTCGTTGGAAGCGGACGTTAAATAAAGCTATTTCACACACACAAATTGCCAGTACCATTATTTGAATAATGGGTTCGCCAACATCAAAGGATGACGTCGCATGTGTATTTTATTAATGATTAACAGTCAGTATAGATGGGAAGACCATGCACAGTAAATATTATTTCCATCTCAAATTATTTACTATTATATCCTCGTCACCATCTCTATTATCTTATCTGAGTGACAAGTCTATCCCTGAACCAATCTGATTAAAACACAGATCCTATTTCGTTTCATTTTTTATAGTTCAAAATTTTGTTTTACTTGTCTGTACTACACTAGGATCTGGAAGAGTTATTATATTACCGGTGTTCTGGTTGAAGTGAGGGATTAACCAATGAAACGGTCTGTTACGGCGAACTATGGGTAAACCGCTCGTACGACCCCTGACGCGACCTTCCAGTAAACCGGTCAGATCTTCATGTAGTGTAGGCCATCGAAGGTATAAAAAAACGAAACGAAATATAGATCTGGGGCCTGTTTTACGAAATTTTAACTAAGATAAAATCCAAATTTTAGTCATTTGATTGGATAATTTTAGACTGATTTTAGTGCTTAGCCAATCAAAATTGAAGTATCTACTAAAATTTGGATTTTATCTTTAGTTAAAATTTCGTGAAACAGGACCCTGTATTTGAACCAGATTGTCCCTGAACGTCAACACCAAGATAGTATCCTACCCAACTTTTTTGGTCTGTTAAGTTTAAATAATAAAAACATTTATTGATTTTGTGTTGTATTAACCTTTTAATGGTTTATTGCATATATTTTTGAAGAACGACAAAAGTAATAAAGGAGATCTCGGCTTGAGGACATATCTTATTAAATTCATGTACAAATTTCGTTTCGTTCAATTTTATTTAAACTCACGGGATACCGAAACAAGTCAATAGCTTACATAAATCGGTTTCGTTCATTCAAGATGTTGCCGTGTAAAAATCGGAAAATAGACGAAGCTGAGGGAACATAACTAATTAGTAGGTTATATCTAATTGATAAGGCCAAGTTCAAGTTTGGTCAAAGGTCACGGGAGGTAAACAGGGCTAGCCCTAATCCCAACCCTAACCCTAGCCTTAGACCTAGACCTAATGCTTACCCTAGCCCTAACCTACAATCTCGCCAACAATCACGTGCCCTAACCTTATTTACATCTCAAAAACCTTGACGAAAATTGAGCTGGCCTTAACAAATAGATTTAGCCCTAATGAATGTTATCTACAAATTTCGTTTCGTTCATTCACGATGTTGCAGTGTAAAAACTCAGAAAACAAACGAACCGAAATTGTAGGCCTAATGCATTTTAATTAGTAATTTCCTCGAGCAAGTCAAACTAATGGGTGCAATAAATATGCTGACTACACTAGACAAATGATAAATGTTTTAAGTGTAAATCATATCTGGGCCTGTCTGGTTGTAGCTGTCTTCGTTAGATTGAAATTAATGACAAAAGTCCAAGGGTGAGTTTAGCACAGTTTAATACACGGCTATTACGTAATACTTGACACTGACGTCACAGACTAATCTGTTATAATTCACCGTGGTTTATTAAATGGGGGTCAAACTCTATTTTATTGTCATGCCTGTAGGTCACCGCATATAATCCATGACAGGTCAACGTGTAATACATGTGTAAAATACTGGTGTGCACACATATCAATTTAACTGTCTTATATATGAAGGATTGTCTTTACCTTTATGAAACCATAATGTACGTGTAAAACACGAATAAGTTCATACATTACATTGTAATTCTCGCCTAGCGATTTTAAAAAAAAAAATCAAGATGCACACGCATAAATGTCTCCTTGTGCAAAAGGGGTGCACACATTAAGTTTATAACAACATAATTATATGATGTACGTAAATTGGGGAAGTCCATGCACACATTGAAACATAAGGAATTGGTCATTACCAAATGACGATGCGCACACACACGTGTAATATGTAAAATATGGATTGGGAGACTAAACACGTGATCCATTATAAGGTGCACACGTACACACACACGCACACACGTGTGTGTATTTTAACATAACACTGTTTTTAGCACATAATATAAATGTTTGGTGATTTGGGATTTATAAATTAATAAGCACTGTTTATAGTTCTGTTGGCCGCTGTGAATCGAGTATTTCTGACAAACTATTGAAGAGAGAAAACGTAAAGATTTAGTTTCTCTAATCGACGCTTTCGCTTTCGTTTAACGCTTACGATGAACTTTTAAATGTTTGGAGAGATGGTCGGAACGAGAGAATCGTTTTTCACAAAGTTTACACTGGTAGGGTTTTATGCCGGAATGTGATCGCTTATGTCGGGCCAACTCGTCGGATCGAGAGAATCGCCATCCACATCCTGTCCACGTGCATTCAAACGGTTTTTCGCCCGTGTGACGTCGAAGGTGGGCTTTAAGATGGGAACTCTTGCTATACACTTTCGTACAACCATTATACGTGCAGTGGTAGACTTTAATCTCATCCGACAACGTGTGTCGGGGCTGTCGAGGGGTCGTTGGCTTGGTGACTCGAACATTTACGTCTGCATGTACGACTGGATGACATAATAGGGACTTGGCGTGGATATTTTGTATTCTGGTAGCGTTAGTTACCGTTACAGTGGGTGCTGGATGGAATGTTGTTGGTTGACGGAAGTAGACTGGTGCCTGCTGGGACTGGACGGGTTTTTTGGTTTCTGTGGTAACAGGTTTACTGGCGTATGTGTGCATCAGGTTTTGTAGTCCGACGCCAAGAACGACCAGCTCGTTGGAATTGTTAGCGAAAGAGTTTTGATTGTTACAGCTCTGTGGTTGGCTTGTTACATGTCCGTCCCCAACACTGAAGGACTGGAGGGATTCTATGGAAGGTAACGAATTAACTTGTCCCAACAAAACATCGTTTGACGGAGTATGCGTAACGTTAGCTGGCACTGCCGCTAAAGTTTGGTCGGATTGAAAATGGTTGACTTCATTAGGTAAACTTACCCCCGACTGTTTCGTATTTTGAATGGCGTCTTCCACGACACCTTGTGAAAATAAATACTCCAAAAATATCTCGTCCTCCAAACTGTCTAAACTCCACATACTTGACGGACTTATACTTCTTAAATCATCGTAACTTGCATCACTTTCCTCTCCTGACGAATTCAATCGCTGTAGAGTATACTGCTCGCGCTCCAGGCTCGAGCTTAAAGGAATGAAATCCTCCATCATTTTGCACGTTCACTTTCCCACTAAAACTATTTGTAATGTCCTTTCTACTTTGTATGTATACGAAGGCGACTGTTATAAGTATCTAACCATTAATAAAACACTCCGTTCCCCCCTGTGACAACTCCAACCAAACCAGATGGGATAGACCCCTATCAAAAGGAAACTCCGAGTTATTTATAGGTCACTAGTCTCGTGCTGTATCTATCTATGATTGGTTGTCAACTATAATTTACTTATATACATATAACCGTAGATATATAAGTACTTAATATCAGAGGTCACGTGACAAATGTGTAAACAGATATTGTTGCAATCTCGTCATATGATTTATTTTTATCAGATTAAAGTGCTCCAGTTACATTTAATTCCACTCTACTCCTAGTTTAGTTAAGTCAACAACTTCACACTTTGTCGCTGCGGATCAAAAGTCGGAGTCGTCTAAATTTATCCTCATCTAGTCCAAAGTGACAATATTTTAAATATTTGTCGAAGATTAAACTTTCTACTGTAGAGATTATCTATATCTTATAACAATGGTTATTTCATTGATCTGTTATCATACATCAAGTATATACCTGTCCTTATTAGGTGATAAACCGCGTGATTAGAACATGCCACGTGCTATTATTCTAATCGGGCTTCGCGGAATCGTTTGTCTGTGATCTGATTGAATCGTATAATAAATCTAAAGTTTAATCATACAGTTCACTGATGCTTATCTTCCCACGTCACATTCAACATAAGATAATCGTTAATCGAATAAATCTTTCTTTCAGTAACGCTTACAACAGCTATTCCAATAACGTGCCGTTTAATCCATAGGATGCCATTTTATTGTTGAACAATTCCTCATCGAATAACGTTAAGCCACTTTTGAACAATTGTATTTCTCACTGAATAACGAACGTTACGACACAATTAAGCAATTCCTCGTCGAATAACGTTATGACACTATTAAACAATTCACCGTCGAATAACGTTACGACGCCATGGAACAATTCACCGTCGAATAACGTTACGACACAATTAAACAATTCCTCGTCGAATAACGTTATGACACTATTAAACAATTCACCGTCGAATAACGTTACGACACAATTGAACAATTCCACACCGAATAACGACGACGCACAACTGAAGAACACTTTTGGAATATTTAGAAATGTTCTGATTGAATAAAGTTCTTGACAATACGCTATTCAACAACATGAAAAATGTTTTCATGGAATAACGTTATTTAAAACAATTATTTTAGTAACGACACTGTATTTCACTATTCATTTCGTTATCTAATAATTATTTTTACAACAGTTCAATCATCCACTTACAGATACTGAAGCAACTCTTATCATTCAATAACACCACGACTGTTTGATAAAGATACTTGTAAGAGTACCGAAACCTTGAATAAAACCACGATTAGCTACAATTAGTTTGAAAATAAACTCCAGTCCATAAAACGGAGTGTTTCCCTCTATGTTGTTCGGAATAACGGTATTTAACAGTAGTAGATACAATCGTATGTTGTTCAGAATAACGATATTTAACAAAAGGAGATAAAATCATACACAATTAATTCAGAAGAAAACTAGGAGTTAGAAAGAGCTGGATTTAAATGAGTTTAGGAAACAGTTGTCCGCCATTATCACGATCTTTATCTTTAAAAATAAAACACATAATAGACAACACATAGTTTCAGAATATTTTGTATCCCTCGCAATAAATTCAACACATTTTAACATTAATCCAATTTATCTCACTTCATATTCGCAAATATTTCTAGATTTTTAACACGCTTCTGGATCTTTTGGTAAACTATTTCGTGTTTTTGTTGTAAAACCAAGTTTAGATGACCAGGCCTCAGTTTACGAGAATCAGAATAGAATCTGGTTATATTAATTATTAAAAATATTCGGATCACATGACACGCGCGTGTCCATATTAATTAGTGTTAATATATTACTGGTCGCCCACGCGTACATTGAAACATGTTAATTTTATTCTAACTTCATACATACAAACATACACTAATTATACGAACATTGTAGTGATCGCTTGCTCCATTTGTCTATACCGTCCATTACAGCCAACGTACACCTGAAAAACAGAATCAAACAAACCTACAATTATAAAATTTAACAATTCGACAAAAAATGTTAATACGACAACAAGTGTGAGCAGCACATAAATGCCTTTGATAAAACCATTCACAAATAATTAATTCATATAACTTTCATTTCACGTCTCTGTGATTTGGTTTTGTGATAAACGTGAAACGTCCTGGAAAGTATTACAATACAAATAATTATTACATTTTTCACTAACTTATCGAAACGTTGTTTTGTTAATTCAAATGTGATTTTTTTTCTTCAATAAAACAAAAAAAAACGACGAAAACATTCAATTAACCTGTTGGTGATGTGAGAACGTATAAACATAATATCACCTGGATTGTTACCTATGTAGTAGCTGAGCTAACTATGATACAGGTGTGACCAGGTACCAGTATATATACACCATTATATATACAACAACAGGTGCCCGTACATATTAATATACTATATCATGTAATTATTACTTATATATTATATACAGGCATGTCTCTATTATTATTAGTGTCTATAGATCCTATTTTCCGGTATTTACCGACAAATCCTAGTTAAGTACAAGATCAAAGATACTTTGTCATCATCACACACGAAACTACGCTTAACTTTAAACATTCAAGGTTATAATGTTAGCAACATCAAAAAACTAAAGCAATGGTAGACAGTAGACAGAAAGTTTTCTACGTACATACTTCTTGTGATGTGAGTAATAAAATAAGACTGGACATTCGGAAGTAGCTAAGTCTCTAACGCAATATCATCCAGTATCTAAGTCTCTAACGCAATATCAGCAAAACATGAATTATTGGTCAATTTAAATCAACATTGATATTGTGGTCTTACAGGAAAAATTTAAGACAAAATAAACATTTCACCATGGGTACACGAAACGTGTACCATAATGCGTTTCAGTGCCATTTGTAATAAGGGACTTGAAGAAGGATGTTAGTCATATTCCACAAGTCATGTCAAACGGTGACGCCATATTCCAATCTGGAGAGCATGCTCAATAAATACTATCGGTGTAGACTGGAATAACCAGACACTTGAAACGGCCAACCGATTGAGACTTCTGACAAATTTCGCGGTACATAACTGGTTTGAAATTAGAATAAAAACTGAAACGATTGAATGTAAATCAGTTTATATACATTCATATTACATTAGTATGTGCGTTGCGGCCCATTTGTGTCCATTTCTAGGTCCCAAATATTAGTCATTTAGCTCCTTTAACAAATATTACGTTGCTTTTGAACCGGGAAATGATTCCATACACTTGCTCCACAAATTCGAGTAGAACAGTAGGACGTTAAACCTCATTTCATTTCCAATTCGAGTACAAATGGCCTGGGGGTTTTTTGTTGTTTTTTTGTGTTTTTTGTTTGTTTTTTGGGGTTTTTTTTTTTTTTTTTTTTTGGTTTTTATTTGAGGGGGGGGGGGGGGGTCTCTTAAATTGAGAATCGATATGTCGTCACAATTTCAAGATGGCTGCGATGAAGCCATTGTTGCTTCCTGGTTCATTTTTGTAGTAGGAGTAATACAGTCGAACAACATATTTTGGAGAATACCACTCTTGTTGTAACTGAATAATATGTCCCAATCTTTATTCTGGTCAACAAATTGTACTATTTTACAGTATTCCAATTAATTGATGATACAAATTTCATCTTAACACACCTAATTTAAAAAAATTGGGAAAATTCAACTAAATGATTTGAAAAGCCTGACTTTAAGCTTTTCAAATGTTACTTGGATTTAAAAATATTTTTGAACCCTCTGGACAAGTAAAATAGGATTTAATGGATAATTTACGCAACAGGTAGGACACTAACACATCAAGTACTTAGAATAAGGCTATATTTTATTTTCTTGAGCTGTCAATCCAGCAAGAGTGTTATTGTCCCTTTAAGATGACCTGACCTAACCAACGAAATAGTTCCTTTTGTTTGGACAAAAATGAATTTAACGATCATCGATCGACTTTGTTCACACTACTCGTTACATGACCATTATTTGAATAAAAAAATGTAATGATTCAGCGACCTTGTTCAGCGTAATGCGGAATTTGAAAACTTATACAAAGGAATACGAAGTCCATTTAAAGCCCAAAAGATGCACAAGAGAAGAAGTAAAATAGGCGAATTTTGTAAAATCTGCCAGATACAACAGTTTGCCTGCCCGTCAACTGTATAATAGTCTCAAGGAACCTAAGTACAATTGTCCACACTAATATATTATTAGTAAGTACAGGAGGACTGCACCACACACAAACAATTCCACAAGACAAACATACGGATGGGAGACAAAATACAGACACCACAAACAACAAACGTATAGATCAGATCACGTGAATGGATTCGGGGGCTAGTCGTAAGCGTTCACTGAGTTGTACAGTCCTGGGTCTGTAGTGATACAATCTGGTTAAAACACGGATCCTATTTCGTTTCGTTTTTATACTTCAAAATTTGGTTTTACTTGTCTTTCTTACACTAGGATCTGGAAGAGTTGTTATCATTGACGTGTTCTGAATGATGTGAGCTATTAGCCAATGAAACGGTCTGTTACGGCGAGCTCTAGGCGTATTTTTCACGGAACTGTGGGTAATCTATTACAAACATCTATGCTTATTGGTTAATCAAATTTCTGACGTCATAGGGTCAAAAACCGCTCATATGACCTCTGACGCGACCTATAGCTACAATTCGTCAGATCTTCATATAGTGTAGGTCATCGAAAGTATAAAAAAAACGAAATATAGATCTTTATTTTAATTAGATTGGTAGTGATACAGGATTCTCTTAAAATGAAAAACAAACCAACAATAAGGGAATATTTCCCAAACGTTGTATACAAATTTTACAATGCGTTTACACTTACCATTTTTATTCAGTTCATAAACAAGATAAGGATTATGACTTCCGTTCCTGTGTGAGCACAAGTTATGCACAGGCTTATCACCAACCAGACAACTTCCGTTTTCTTTAATTCAACTCGGATTACGCTGAAAATATTTAAAACTTAATGAGTTTTCACGTCAAGTCTCTTTGATAACAATGAAAATAGATTCGTCACGTGTGACGTCACGTTTATCTGTGTTGTACGTATAAGTGTCCATTACGTCATAATCTTTAGTATGACAATCATACGTAAGTAGTCGAGTTGTTAATGTATTCACAACCTCATCAAATCAACTGATATATAAATCTACTTGCTTCAGCAATGTTTTCCTCTAATATGAAGTGCCCGAAAAAGACAAAAGAAATCATGTATTAAACAATCCAATTCCTACCATTATTTCCACGGTTGTACGTGACAAGGAGTAGGGTCGCCTGTCCAACCTCGTGGGTTTTCTCCGGGTCCTCCGATTTTCTCCCACTGCTAAAGACCCCTACGCGCAAACGAATTATTGAAATAATATTAAACCATATCTAAATTCCGAAATGACCTAGTTTGTGTCAAGTGGGGGTTAAACCCTATCACATTGCCCCCCCCCCTCTCTCTCTCTCTCTCTCTCTCTCTCTCTCTCGCATTATTTAACGTAAAATTATTATCCTACGTTAAGTGTTAAGGGAAAATAATCTACAGTTTTTAATGATCAGTACAGCTAATCCATCGTCGACTAAAGGCATACCCGGGAAAAATTAAATCCATCACTACCAAAAGAGATAGCTGCTACCAACATAAATATGCAAAATTCACAGTGACAAGCAAGGTGTCCATAACAGACAATAGAAATATTTGTTTCCCCATTGCAGAGCCTCTTTGATTCTACGTAACATGCGAGATTGGAGTTCCATTCACTGTGAGAGAGACTGGCTAGAGATTGGAGTTCCATTCACTGTGAGAGAGATTGGCCGGAGACTGAGACTGGCTAGAGACTGAAGTTCCATTCACTGTGAGAGAGACTGGCCAGAGACTGAGATTGGCTAGAGACTGGAGTTCCATTCACTGTGAGAGAGACTGGCCAGAGACTGAGATTGGCTAGAGACTGGAGTTCCATTCACTGTGAGAGCCGAGCTCCAATCCTTGTTTCTACGTGCAGTAAGAGTGGTCAGAGACTGGACATGTTGTGAGAGTATAGCTACAATCCTTAATTCCACGACGTGAAGTGAGATTGACTGGACTCATGGGCGTCACACATGGAGGAGGAGGGGGGTCCCCCCCCCTGTTGTTTTTCTGGGGGGGGGGGGTCTGAATATACTTGGATCCCCCCTCCCCCCAAATTTACATAGTAGGCCCTAACTCCTATTTATTTACAACAATTATTAGGATTAGTTAAGATTCTATCTGTATAAAACCTGTATATATCCCAATATGTTGGTGTGATGTTTTAGTTTAACCCCGTAAAATATGGCAAAACAGTGTTTACAGAAGACTGAACCTTTAAAAATAAATATGGGGGACCCTCCGTATCGCGTCCGGCGTCAAAGATTGTCAACATTTTATATAATTTCATTTGCGGACCCTCACCCCCCCCCACCCCCCCACCCCCAATATATATTTCACGGCTACACCTCTATCTGGACTGGACCCTCCCACACTCTCCGTATCGCGCTACATCGCGCCACCGGCGTCACAGATTGTCAACATTTTATATAATTTCACTTGCGGACCCCCCCCCCCCTATATATTTCACGGCTACACTTCTAACTGGACTTCTATTCACTGCGAGAGTGGCCCCCAATCTTTGCCTCTACGTGAAGTAAGATTGGTGAGGGTATAGTATAGCTGTAATTCTTACTTCTACGTCGTGAAGTGAGATTGACTACTTAGCGTGACTTTTACCGTCAACTCTACTATAAGCTAATGCTAGCTAACAATAAATATATAATGAAATCATTGAAGCGTGGAATATACGTCTATTTTATATTTATGATGATTTGCATATTTTATCATTGTAAAAAAAACTAAATGGCTGTTTACAAAGAGGTGAATCACCCGGACACGTAGACTATTACGTATCGTAAATAAAATCGGAAATAACTGTCCTACTTTTCTGCACGGACCGGGCTAATGAAACAGCCATGCAGTGTGCTGTGAGGGACATTTTGCCCAACTCTCATTTCCAGTTAAAAATTCTTTTACGTGCACGCCAACGTGTACACGAAAACTTGGTGTTTCGTACCACCCGACGAAACATCGCTGGAAAATCTGGGGGATAGAACCCCGGCCACCTTGGCTGGGCACAATAATCATTTTCGGTTTTATTTGCGAGTTGTACGTGTGGTCCTCTCGCACTGGCTCTCGAACATCCAGTGGATAATTATCAAACATTTAATAATGCCGTCTGATATGCAGAACGGTGTTCAGGGGTTCGGCCTTAAAAAGAAAAACAATATCTAAAGTCCCCTTAAAACCCTAAACAAAACCTGAATGGAAAACTACATGTAACGAGATAATAATAATACTCACTTGAGCGAATACTTGACATACCGTATAGAACAAAGTCAATTCAATTCATACAAAATACTACTCCATTGGTAAACACCGAATGGTTAGCACGTACACGCTGTATCATAAGGTCTGTTATTGGGTCAACTGGCGTGGTTTCAATTCCCCGGTTCTACGTGACAAGGAGTAGAATCCCCTGTCCAACCTCGAGGGTTTTCTCCCGGTCCTTCGGTTTCCTCCCATTGCTAAAGACAGACCCCTACGCTCAAGCGAATTATTGAAATAAAATTGAACCATATGTTAGTCTCGAAATGACCTAGTTTGTGTCGAGTGGACGTTAATCCTCATTTCTCTCCCTCTCTCATTGGTAAACACCTTGTTTTAAAGACAGGGAACTCAAACTATAGTTTATAGGGTTGTATACATATCAAGGAGTCACCATGATATAGTAAAAATATTGTTTGATATAGAAAAAAGAAAATAAAGGATTAATGTCCTCAAATCGATTCCTTTTGTCGGTCCGTACACACTCACTATAATCATTCAGTTAACACGAATTTCTTAAAGATGATTAATCACCAAATTATTCACATTTCCTCAAATTAAAATATAAATGAAATGACATAAAATGGGGTTTAACGTCCGGCAAGTCGGAGACGAGTCTTACTGTGTGATTGCTAGGCTGACATCTCAGAACGAAATGAAATGAGGTTTAACGTCCTGCTGTTCTGCTCCGAAGAGCATACGCCATATGAGGGAAATTTTGCCCGGGCAGTGGTACTATCTCCTACTCTAATATCGAATTCCAACTGTCAAAGGGATGTGTAATGATTACAATGTTCATTAAATAGTTAAGTACCGTTGAGTGTTTAAAGATTTGTCAACAATCTGCATGTAGACGATATACAGGCTACATCTGCTCTTCATCTCGTTTATTTTCTATGTTCGATAAACAATTTGTTTATTATATAATGGCGACTCGTTGATATTGTATAATCATTGATATACAAACCTAAGATCTATAGTTGGGCACCTAACCCTAACCAAATTCTTAAACCTAACCCTCACCCTGTAGGTGGCTATATGAAATAAATCTAACCAGCTAAGGACACAGTGTCTAAACTGAATAAAGAATATGACTATACTAAGCTACTAAAGAAAGTCTTCCACGAAACGAGAATGAAATGAAATGAATGGGGTTTAACGTCCTACTGTTCTGCTCCTAACCTGGGCTAATGAAGACGGGCATACGCCATACAGTGGGCTATGAGGGAAATTTTGCCCGGGCAGCGGCACTATCGCCTACTCTTATATCGAATTCCAACTGCCAAGGGATCTTTTACGTGCACGCCAATGTGTACACGGGACCTCGGTTTTTCGTCCCATCCGAACGACTAGACAGCTGTCCTTGTCAGGCCCTCCATCCTGCATCACTGACAAGGGGAAACCACGCCGGAAAATCTGGGTGAACTTTCTCGGCCAATGCAGGGATCGAACACCCGACCTCCAGGCTAGCGAGCCAGCGTCTTACCCACTTAGCCACGTGATCCCCTTCACGAAACGAATATATAAATAAGGCGCTGAATGATCAACGCCACCCCATCCCCAACCTTACCCCAATCCCCACCTCACCCGACAAAAGAGAACAAATTTCTAAACCAAACGAATACGGGAGCTAGCATATGTACTGAGTCACTAACGAAAACAGTCAAGTATTAACGCGTTTTATAAATGACGATATTATTATGACATTATTATTACAATGCACTACTTAATGCCCGGCCGAAACCAAACCCCACCCCATCCTATCCACAACACCAACCCCATTACCCAGTCCAACCAATGTCATGATAGCAAATTAATATTTCAAGAGACACATATATACAAAATGTGACTTACCCTGCTCGCTAATGTAAGTTACTCTATGAAATGAATTTTATTAGTTTGGTCACGGGCTGTGGCGAGTTCCGCATTCACGACCTACTCTCTGCTTTAACCCAACTATACTGTGAAATGTATTTTTAATTTTTATTCGACTGAAAAAAGTGTTTTATACTCGACTGACAAAGTATTAGCTTGACGGTTGACGAATTTTAAGAGACTTGCCTTTAACGTCATAATAAACATAGTAAATCGTTATGCTCCACTTATATTCGCGTTGTCGTTACACGTGACCGCTGTGGTTACACGTGACCGTGTGAATCATATCATTGAGTAAATGCTGGTCGGTTCTTTTGTTCTGAGATGTCGGAGCCACGGTGGGTAAGTGGGTAAGACGCTGGCTTGTTAGCCTGGAGGTCGGGTGTTCGATCCTTAATTGGCCGAGAAAGTTCATCGGAATTTTCCTACGTGATTTTCCCCTTGACGGAGGACCTGCCAAGGACAGCTGTCTAGTTGTTCGGATTGGACGAAAAACCAAGGTCCCGTGTATACATTGGCATGCACGTAAAAGATCCCTTGGCAGTTGGAATTCGATATAAGAGTAGAGATAGTGTCGCTGCCCGGGCAAAAGTTTGGTGTATGTCCGTCTTCATTAGCCCAGTTGGATCAGAACAGTAAGACGTTAAACCCCATTTCATTTCGTTCTGAGATGTCAGCCTAGAAATCACA